CACTGGCCTATCCTGGGTGAGAACTGCTCTTTCATTTAAATAAGCACAATACAATGTAATTATGACAACTGCATATGAATTCACTGAGTATCTTTGTGTGTTTTCAGATGGCTGATGCTATGGAGATGATGATCCTCAGCATCTTAGCTCCACAGCTCCACTGTGAATGGAGACTGCCCAGCCTGGAAGTGGCACTGCTTACATCGGTAATGTCTCTCTTATGTCTGTGAAAGTCCTCCTCTTGCAGTGCAATATGACCGTCCTGTCAGTTATTCATTGAGTTCCCAGGGATGATTTTGTGCTTGGATTAAAACGGAGCCAGCAAATGGAGAAGAAAAGAAGGCCTGAGCACACTTCAGATATGTGCTGAATCTTTGCAACCTTAATGAATCTGAAAGTCTTATTTAGAATCAGAGTGAAATACAGAATATCATTCAAACAAGGAAATTAAGGTTCACTTACTAAAGACCCTAAACATTCACATTTTTGTGGCTCAACCAAAACCAAATACTACCGACAGTTTAAGAACAGTGTATAAGAGGATGTGCATGCTATGTCGGACAACTTTTGGCTGCAATCTGACTGGGACTTGATTTTTTTCTGTTTTTTTTTTCTTTCTTCTTGATACAGGCAGTGTTCATCGGGATGATGATCAGCTCTTCTCTTTGGGGGAACATATCTGACAAATACGGCAGAAAGACAGTAAGTTCTAATAGCATTCAGTCAGAGGTCCAAATGATTTACAGAGTTAGGGTTTCTTAGTACATACTAGACAACAGGAGTGAGCCGCTTCATTATGCCAGAGTGAGATTTTGCTTATTTATTTATTTAGCAGTGTATTATGTCTTGATTGTATACACATGCAGGGTCTGAAGCTGAGTGTTCTGTGGACGATGTTCTACGGCCTGATGAGTGCTTTTGCACCTATTTACGGCTGGATCCTTGTCCTCCGTGCACTGGTGGGCTTCGGCATTGGAGGGGCACCTCAGTCGTGAGTAACCCTTCATCTTGAAAAAACAAAGCAAAAAAAATAATCAAATTGTAATGTATGGCGATTGGGTTCATAATAAAGTGCCTCTTTTTGTAAGGGTGACGCTGTATGCTGAGTTTCTGCCTATGAAGTCCAGAGCCACATGCATCTTGCTTATTGAGGTATGGAGTGCACAAATCTTATATCATTTCAGCACTTAAACCTTCTCAGCCCTAAAACCTGCATTTGCTGCTGTCGTAGATATTTTGGGCACTGGGCACTGTATTTGAGGTCCTCTTAGCGATCTTGGTGATGCCCACTCTGGGCTGGCGCTGGCTGCTCGGACTTTCTACCATTCCTCTCTTCATTTTTGCCATTCTGTGCTTTGTAAGTATGTTGGCAGTCTTGAGCTGCTCTACAATTTGAAGCATGATAGATTACAGCTTTATCAACCTAATTTTTCTTTTGTTTTTTGGTGGGTGGGAGCAGTGGCTGCCAGAGAGTGCTCGATACGACGTGCTGACAGGGAATCAGGAAAAGGCTCTGAACACACTGAAGCGGATTGCCACTGAGAACGGAGCACCCATGCCACTGGGAAAACTGATTGCCGCCAGACAGGTGCGGTGTGCATCTGCAAAAACTCTAAATGCTTTGTGTACATTAAGTACCCTCTATCATACTTCCATTTGTGTTCTGAGGGTTTTTTTATGGCTGTTTTTTTATTTTTTATTAGGAAGATCGTGGGAAGATTCGAGACTTATTTTCATCTCACTTCCGCTGGACCACAGTCCTGCTGTGGTTTATTTGGTAAATTAGCAATTGATAATGTCTTCCTCTTTCTCGAAAACCTTGCGTTTTCATTGTCCAGTGATTTACCTAAAGCAAATCAGCATGAATTGATCTGTGTCTGTTCATGCAGGTTTGCGAATGCTTTCTCTTACTATGGGCTGGTGCTGCTCACCACAGAGCTGTTTCAGGAGGGAGGCGCATGTGGAAGTGAGTCAGATGCTGATAGAGGGCTTCACACACTTTATGGTGGTTATGTTTTTGCAAAAAGCATCACAGACAGTAGGCTGAGTGCTGGATTTGAAGCATCCTGTTTGGTGTAACTCCCTCTAGTGTCCAAAGGTAATAAGGAGGAGCTCCGATGCAGCTTAGAGTGTAAATACCTGAATTCTGATGACTACAAAGACCTGCTGTGGACTACGTTATCTGAATTCCCAGGTACACATCACCAAGCTCTCATAAATTTGTTGTTCAATATATTAAAAACTGTGCAAATTCTGCTCTAAATTATGCACAAATATGACCACCTGCTGGTTATTATGCATTAATATAAATGCCTCCTCTCTTCTTGCTTCAATTCTTGTTCTATTGTTGTTGTTTTTTACACTCATGCAGGCACTCATTTTGGTGTCTCAATATGATTGGCTGCACCTGCATTTTTTTTTCTACTATGTGAGAGCATGCAGTTTGATTTTAGGGGTCTGAGTATGCTGATGTTGTACAGGACTGCTGGTGACGCTGTGGGCTATCGATCGATTGGGAAGGAGGAAGACCATGGCACTGTGTTTCTTCGTTTTCTCTATGTGTATTATTCCACTTTATGGCTGTGTTGGGAGGTAAAGGCACAACTGGCTATAATCAGGCTTTTAAATACTTTAAGAATTAGTAATGCTGTCCATTTACTGATACTGATTTATCCCCTGCAGAGCCTCCATGACAGTGTTGATATTCATCGCCAGAGCATTTATTGCAGGAGGGTTTCAGGCAGCCTATGTGTACACTCCAGAGGTAAGGTATCTACACAGTGAGCAGTTTTGCTCCTACTGTGTAAAACACATTTGCAGGGCAGAATTAGAAAATTGGCAGCCTCCTATGTATTTCTGAAACTCTGCAGGTATACCCAACAGCGACCAGAGCTTTAGGATTGGGAACAAGCAGTGGAATGGCCAGGGTTGGTGCCCTAATAACTCCGTTTGTTGCCCAGGTAACACTTTGTTTTCCCATGACAACACTGCACAAAAATGTCAGAGTGTTAGTGTCACACATTGTGATTGTCCATGGGCTTCATCCTGCAGGTGATGCTGGAGTCCTCTGTGTACCTGGCTCTGTCAGTGTACTGCTGCTGTTGCCTCTTCGCGGCCATCGCCTCCTGCGCGCTGCCAATTGAGACGACAGGCCGCGGCCTGCAGGAGTCCAGCCACCGTGAGTGGGGACAGGAGATGATGGGTAGGGCCTCTTCCCACAGCGCTGGAGGAGTCCCTGACTCCAGCTCCGGCTCCCAGGGCTGAGGATGCATCAGCTGCAGTGCAGCTGAGAGGAGACCACAGTGAAGAAGAGAAGCAAGGAGAGGGAAGACAACAAAACCAGCTCTCTGTGTTCATCTTTGCCCCCCTTCAATGATCTTCAGTTTAGTCACCGCAGTGGCTGGAAGCCAGGCAACACAGTAGTTACATGTACATGTCATTGTACTTTTTTAGTCTTTTAAACACCATTGCTCTCACAAGTTTGCCACTGTATAACTGCACACAGGGTAATCAAGAAAGACCAAATGACCTACATGAGTGTGAGAGTGAATGGGGGAGGAAAATCGTAAAGAGAGAATTCTAATACTTCAACCAAAGTATTTTAATCAAGCTTTTCTAATCCAAGAGAAGCAAAAGGGATACCGTAAGGTCAAACAACTATCTTCTTTTCAAAAAGCCTTAAAACTACCTATTTAGCTTGTGGTCGAGAGACCTACTCTTACACCTATGAGAAAGCTGCTTCTGCTAACGTAGTGGGCGTAGATACATATGTAAGGAACAGCATTATCCTGTGCGCACAATTTGCCTGCTGAAATACACTAATCACACTTGTCTTTATTTTTTAAAACAGAGCATTGATAGATTGAAGGAAAATCCCACACAATCAAAACAACAGGGCATCTGAATGAAAAGGGTGTGGGGTTATTTAATAGTTTCAGCCGTGAGAGGTGAAAGGAAGTCACTAGCTTTCATACACCGAGCATCCTTTTGAACTCTTGTGTTGTATGTGTTGTTCTTGTGTCAGTATTAGTTCACATTTTAACACGGTAAAGACCCATGGAAAATGCAGGTAACATTGAAAATACCACCTCATCTCTTGATCATTATCAGGACAGATTCTTTATAGCAAGCTGAGGGATCTGTTGAAACCTTCACCAGAAGATATTAACATCAGTAAGATAATAACTTCTCATATTTACAGCACAAACACGCTCCACGGATCCTGTATTTACGTTAACATTAAAGTGTTTGATCATTTAAATCTGAGCAGTTTCTCAACATCCAAAGCTGACTGAGCCTAGTTAGCAAGGTTTACATAATTTAAAAATACAAAAACATTCACACATGTATGTGGTGTCATAATCTATAGACGTTGATGCATCTCGTGCCCTACTTCAGCAGACTTTGATGCTGCGTTTCCCAATGTCCACAGCGGGATGTTGCGTTCTGTAAATAATGTATCAATACCTGGTTTAGTTGTTGTCTTTGCTTTTGTTTGTAACAGAGGTGACGAGGAGATGGACTGAGGGAAGTTTTGTTTAAAAAAATAATCTCTGTATTTATTTAACGAGTATAGGTCTGATGAGCTGTTACCTGCCAGTGTTTGAGATGAAGAGCTGCATTACGTGTCTGTGTGCACAGATCCTTGTCAACGCACTGGATGTAAATGTGTATGATACTGTAGTAAATGATCTTTCAAAGACAAGTAACTGTCGTGTTTTTATTAATTAGTTAAATATTTTAAATTCATTGCAAATCTTGCATTTAGTGCACTAAAAAATTCACAAAAATATGTACAGTTTATACATAAAAAGTGCTTCTCAAATTATCCAAATCTCAAATAGATTTCAGCACGATTGTCTTACATATGTGCCATTGTTTAATTAACAATGGTGGCCTTGTCCTTAACTTTGCAGGTGCATGAGACTGTTTGAAAATGATGTTTAATATTAAATTAGTGGAGGCTAGGAGCAATATATGCACTGATGCTGACATTTGGGAAAAAAAAAAGAGCATCAATCGTTACTTCTGCACACCAATTCACAAGCGAGCTTTTGGACCTTTGCCTTTTTGTTCCACGATCTGACCAAAGAGCCTCGCCGCTTCCTCGGCACAGCCTCGGTGAATGGTGAGTCCGAAACCTCCGTGGCCATAGTTGTGTATCACCTGAATAATGCCACAGTATTTTAGACAATTAATAGCAGAAATATGTATTTACAGTTCCGCTACTTAGATCTTAAAAGGATACCTCTATGGGGGTTTCACCAGACCATATGGCTTCCCTCTCCAGTCGGACTTTGCTGCGAACTGGCCTGAGGCCAGACCAGTCGTCGACTATCCTGGCATGCTGAGATTAGAGAACAAAGAGATGAAAGCTTTTCAGAACTGACAATAAATAAACAAATACATAATAATAAAGGTAACTCAGAAACTGAAAATTTGACACTCAGTTACATCTTTTTAGAATGAGGTCTAAATATATAAAATGAAAAATGTTAAAAACTTCAGCACCACAGAACACTTACTGTAAATAATTAATCACACTTGAATCATCATATCTTTTTATGGCCTTGCTGAAATCATCGTACCTTGAGACTAGGCTCAAGCTGACAAGCTTTTTCCCAGATTTCTTTATGGTCGACAGAGCTATTCTGTTCACTCCAGTTTCCCATCTGGAAAACGCCACCAAGCGTCACAAGACGACTTCTGCGGACACAAATGTTTTGCACACTGATAAAAACAGCTCTTGCTTTCTGTCTTCATTGTACTCCAACCCCAAATCAATACGAAAAAGTGCTGCAGCTGTTAACATAGCGACTGAACTACAGAGAGTAACTACTAGAGCTACTACATTTGAAAACTTTTTTTTAAGGTGAAATATATAAAATCCTCTAACTGCAAATGTAGTAATACTATAAGTCAACAGCTGTGTGGTTCTGCAGTTCAGTGCTTATCAGTGTGGCATGTTACTTGTACTACCCTGGAATGATATATGGTGAATTGTATGTTCCTTTGGTGAAATCGTGGGTAATAATCCAGTGCTTCAGCCAGGGAGCATCGACCTGAAATACAAACAAACGCCAGTTCATTCCGTCATTCCTTTATCTCTTGTGCAGTACATACACACAGCCCTGTATATTCTCACCTTCAATATCTGGCCACGGCCTGGTTTCAGGTCTGGATCTGGCTGCAGTTGGCCTGACCACATCCCACTGCAGTTTATGATCACATCTGCTCCGGTTTCAGCCAGCTAAAAAAAGTCAAGGATGATAGGAGATAACAAACATGGTGACAGATAACTTTTGCTCAACTTGTCTGGAGGCTGTAAAACATTACAACATTCAGTAATAAATGTTAATATAGTACAGACTGGGCATAAGTCAGCAAAACACCATTAAAGACGACCAGCTGAAGTTCAAACCAGGCGTCATGATGAGTAAATAAAGTAACTTAAGTGACTTTGAACGTGTGGTGTGGTTGTTAATGGGAGACCAGCTGGTCTGAGTATTTCAGAAACTGCTGACCTACTGGGATTTTCCCACACTGCAGAAAATGTTCAGAAAAGGAGAAACTATGCAGTGAGCAGCTGTTCTTTGGGTGAAAATGCCTGTGGTCAGAGGAGAGAGACCAGACAGCTACAAGAAATGATGTCAACATGAACCTAAATCTCTGAGCAATGTTTCCAGCACCTCGCTGAATCTATCCCATGACGAATTAAGTCAGATTAGAAGGTGTGCCTAATGAAGTGTCCGGTGAATGTATAAAGAACTTGCAAGAACAATACACTGAAAACTTTCACTAACCTCCTTGAAGGACTTTATTTTCCTGTGATAAAATTTCACTCCCCTTTTTCGCAACCTGCAAATAAAAACACTGTGCACTAGAAAACCTTTTATATTAAGGAGCATCGATGCTAAACACACAAGAACCTAATGAAGACTACATGTTTATTACTCTTATTACTAATACATAATAGGATGAAGTCTCAAGTATACGTTACTCAGTATTGTGGGATCATTTCAGTCCACCAGGTACAGCATATATATCGGACAACATTATAAAACTGTAAACACGATATGGTCTTATGTTAAAGGTAAAATATAAAAACAACTGATCTCAAACAATGTCAAATACTTTGGGAATTTTAAAGCTAACTCAGGAGGTTGGACTAAATAAATCAATACTGATACAACATGAGAAGTCAGTTAGGTGATCACTCACCACTCCATAAGCCAAGGTAAGTATGTTTTACCCTCTATCATGAGAGCAGTGTTGAACCACCCAAACCTGAACAAATGATAAGAAGCAAATGTTTCACTAAAACTGCTGGTTGTGCAACATTGTCCATTCAATCACAAAAAATACTGGTAACTTTTAGTGGGACGCTTGTAATACAGTGAAATTCACACATTTAGCATTTTTAAATTCATGTTTATCAAACTAAACATGATTTTATGTTATTTGAAACATGAGTCAACATCCTCAGTGTGACTTACAACCCTAACCCTGTTAGGGTTACAAATGTCAGATGTCGCAAAGAAAATACAACTTAAAACTCATATATTCAAATTTAAATGTAATTTTTCCTTTTTTTTTTTTTTTTAAATTGGTCATACATTTAAATACACATTGCATTTTTTAATTTAAATTTTCTGGCAATTTTTTCATGGTTCAGAGTTTATGGGGTCAAGTAGTTTCTTTAATTAATTACCACACATTCAAAGTCAACTTGTTCACACTGTATGTAAACAGCTGACTATGTGGCTAACTATTTGTTTATTTGTGTCTTGTCTTTCATTGGCGTTTTTCAGAAAGAGCTTACTTGTATCCAGGAAAAATCTGCAGCTCTCGGTCTGTGAGCTGCCTGAAGCCAAGAACGCTGTCCTTAAACGAGGGATCCTGCAACCAAAAACAAGCCACAGGCAGTGAGAGGGCAATCTTATGGGTGTCACAGTCACCAAATCACATTATTACAGAGGATGTATCCACTGTGAAACTCTGAGTCTCTTGTGGCCAAACACTGATATTTTGTTTGGGTTTTTATCTTCAATAAAGAGATCTTCAACAGAGAAAGTAACTTAAGTGCATCTTGAAAACTCGCTTGTCTTTACCATGTTATATCTGGGCTGCTAATGCATGGGCTGTCTTGGTGATATCGAGTCAGCTGACTCTTCACTCTGGTTATGACTCAAACGCATGTCTGTGTCACACATTCCTCTCAGTGCTATTACATTATGAAAGTCATCCTGTGAACTACTTAGTAATAGCTTAATGCATACAAACTCCCTAAAGATTAGGAATCGAGTTGAAAGAAACATTTTTTTGTTGTCAGATTTCTCAGTACACACTCTCATAGAAGTTAATATGTTAATAAGTGTTTCTTGGTTAGATGGGGTTTCATCAGCTCCTGGTTATTTACTAACTTCCTCAGCCACATTTGCTACAACTGAGGATAACCACTTTTTTTTATGAACTGCCAAATTAACGTTGGGAATAAGCCCTGCCAACTAAACAGAGTTGCTCTATCGTGTATATTATTAATGTTTGACATCTTGCATAGATTGCAGTGAAACTTTATGGTACAATATTGGTTTCCGTTTTCCTAATATGGAACAATATAGGACACTGTGGTAACAGTGAAGGATCACCATCAGTACCAGTACGGGCAGTTTTGTGGTTGACGTAATTACCCGGTTTCCTAAATAACACAGAATTAGCCTGATTGTACTTTGGGATTATTTGGCTGCTCTAATGAGATACGAGCCATTTCCATTCATGACAAATAGGCTTTTGATGTAGGCATGACTACAACTAAAAGAAATGTATTTTACTTCATGTTGCAAGAGAAAGCTCAATGAAATGCTTTCTGCTGCTAAGAGCAGATTTATTGTAACACATGAAATTCACAAAAGAATTTCCAGAGTGCACTGAACCCGATACTGGACATATACTTGAGTTTTGCATCACTATTGTAACTCTGCATTATGCCAACTTGGATTGGTTCTGCAGCTTTCTATTTCTGTTTTGCTATGCTAAGCTTTTAGCATAGCAAGTTAAGAGTTAAGATAAAATAAGAATATGAAAAAATAAGTGTTTGAAAGTCTTCCAGTTTCATCGTTTGACCTGTGAACTTTTAACCGGCACTAAACTAATGTGACACAACAGAAAAAAAAAGAGCCCACTGCATGATCTTATTTGCAAACATGCAGAAATCACTCAACAATGTCAGTGCCGGCTAATATACAGTTGTGTTCTCAAGGTTACATCCACTCATCATGGCCATGGATGTACATCAATGTTAATGATGTCTTTGAACTGTTGTTTTCTGGAGTGGAATGATTGTACAGCATGTTTAATGACTTAAACATGCACAAGTTTGAATTCATTTAGGATTTTCTTTAATTCCCACAGCATCAAAACTATACATATAGTCTCATATATATACGCATTAGCCCCCACTGATTTTTGGTT